GAGGCTTCCTCATCCTGCACCACACCCTGCACAGGACGCTGGTCAGCGTGATTGGCCGTTCGACCTTCTCGTTTTTGGCCAGCATGACGACCAGGCTCATGGTGAGCTGTGTTGGTAGCTCCGCTTTGGCCTCCATGTCTTGAAGGATGCTCAGGAGTGGTTGGATGGCTTGCTTGGGCGCGGTTCGGAGCAGCTGTGTGGTGATGGCATCTGGTCCACAGGCCCTGTCCGGGAGATGCCTCAAAGTTTTGCCAAGCTGTTCATAGGTGAGTGGTGGTAGTTGTGCTGCTTGTTGCTTGGCTTCTTCCTGTAAGGGCAGCCTGGTCATTGGTTGGTTGTCCCTTGTTGGTTTCCAAAGGACATGCCAGTCATGCATGCGGTGGCGCATGCGGTCGGCCACTGGGATGTTCCTGTAGGGACGCTGCCAAGACAGTTCACTAGCTTTCAGGGATCTGAAAAGACCTTTGAGCCCTTTGGTTTCTCCCTGCCTGATCCATTCCGCGTATTGGAGGCTGGCCTCCTCTCGACTTTGCTGTTGCGCTGTCTCAAGCTGGTGTTGTACTGTTTGTTGCATCAACTCGAAGGTGCGGTCGTCTCTGTATTGAAGCCAGTGTTGGTGGGTGTCCAGGAACTGGCCCCATGTCTGGTCCCCCAGCCAGTGGTGCTGAACTTGTTGGAGTGCTTTGTTGAGGCCGTGGGTGGCTCCGGGCGCTTTGGCTGGTTGGTGCTGGATCAGGGTGAGTCTGGCCTGGATTTGTTCCCAAAAGGCGGCCTTGCCCTTCTTCCAGATGCCGGCGGCGGCCGCTGGTACCAAGGGAAGGTGTTGGGTGGTCAAGCTGGACGCTCGTCCTTGTGCCCATGGGTGCTGTTGGAGCAGGTATTGCTCAGTGACCGAGACCCTGTCAGCAAGACCTTTGGCCCCTTGGTTTGGTGTGCTCTCATACAGTTGGAGCTGTTCCACCTGTGTGATGTAGGTGCTCCAAGCTCTAAACCCAATGTCAGGCACGTTGGGCAGAGGTGGGAAAGTCCGGAGTTGGTGGTAGAGCCGGAAATCGTCCTCGAGCTCCAGTGCATATGTGAGCAGGCAGTGCGGTCGCCATGGGACAGCCCATTCGGTGGTCATTGAGGCACAAGCGGCCAAGGTCTGATGCATAATGGCATAGTCCACCGTGTTGCCGTTGAGTAAGGTTGCGTCTGGGGCCAGAATTTGCCAGTGGAACTTTGAGCTGAGGACCGTGCTCTGGAAGTGCTCTGGATGATTGTTCCAGTCCCCAACCAAGATGAATTGACGCGTTGTGGCCTGTAGGAGTGCAAGAATGCGGGCCAGGATCTGGGAGTTTGTTGTTCCCTGGATTGTCTCGTTGGTTTTGAAGTAGACCGCAACCACTAGGATGGTTCGTGCCTTTGCCTCCCAGAGAAAGGCCTGATAGCCACACCCCTCAATGTCAAAGGCTTCCAGTTGGGTGAGGCCATGGGCTGTGTCGTAGATGGCTATGATGCCGCCGTGTGTACCGTCGTTGTTGCTATTGGCATGAGCCGGGTAGCCAAAAGCATGTCTTCCCCGGACTTCGAAGTACTGGCACATGGTTTGGTGCTTCTGTCGATCGAGATGTGTCTCCACCATGATGTAGATCTCATTGTCTCGAGTCCAGTACCAGTCCAGGGTGCTCTTGCCAAAGGCGATGTTGCCCACATGGAGGCGCATGTTGTCTTGTGTGTGTCTGGCTTTATCGGGGGGTGTGCCGTGAAGGGGTGGATCGTAATCCGGGGTTTCCGGAGGCGGCAATGCCCTGGCGATTTGGCGTGGTGTGATAAGGGCTGAGGTCTGGATGCCCCAAACTTGCACTATCTGGCCGGCAATTTGAGGCGTCAAAAACTGCAGGACCTTGGGGGTGCCTCCGTCGTCAGCGATCCACATGAGGTCTTTGTACACCAAAATGGTGTAATAGTGTTCAGTCTCATGGGTGGGACCTCTGTGGCATATGTATGCCATGGGGATGTACTCAGTACTGGCCCTGGAGAAGCCGTCCAGTGATCTCGGGACTGTGTATGGCCCATGTGGGTTGAGGGCCCTCTTGTGTTTTGTGACTGTGCCCTCAATGGTGACGGCTCGGTTGATGTGGCTGACCTGGACGAGCTTGTCATCACTGAGGTATTGTCCAAGGCCTTGATTGGCCCAGCAACTCATCAGCTCTTGCCATGTTATTTCGTCGAGGTATTCGTCGGGGTAGTCCACAATCAGTGGCACCTGGATGTGCTCGGTGACATACCCCCCTTCTTTGACCTCAGTGTGGCGGTACTGCAGGACTCGTGTTTGCGAATGGACCCACAGGGAATGCACGAAGTGTGCCGCATCACCCTCGATGTTGAGGTCGTGTTTTTGCCACAACTGATGTAGACCGGGTAGTCGTTGGATGTCCACCGGTTCTGAGAGCTCCAAGGAAGTTTGAACTGCATCTTGGATGACTCCCCAAGGGTCACGATTGAACTCCGCCAGATAGGCGCACATCCAGCAGAACGCCCTCCATGGTGCATTTGCAAAGCATCGAGCACTGGGATTGCCCACCACCATGCTCAGGTTTTGGAGGAGCAGGTCGGTGGTGGAGGCATAGTAGTGAGAACTCATGTTGGGTTGAGTCCTGCCGCTGTCGAATGTGGAACTGGGCTTTGCCGAGGCTCCGCCTGTGATCTTCAGCCAAGGTCCATGTGGTGCAGCAGGTTCACTCGAGTGATGCGCTAAACCTTGGATCCTTTGTTGAGGCTGAAAGGTTGAATGCAATTGTTGCATATCCCCTGCAACCATAATCCCCTTGTCCTGAGTTGTGCCGTGTGAGTGATCGTCCAGTGACGCCTGTGTTTGTGCCCCAACACTGGTGACACTGGTGTGATCCAAAGCTTCTGAGCCTGAGGCAGCACGGCAATCCCTTGTGGTGTGTCGTGAGCCCCAAAAATGTGATGCGCCGGGTGTTGTTTGTGAAATGTCCCCTTCACAGTAGCCCCGGGAATGTGTGCCTGCGGAGCCTCCATCGGTTGGGCACCTGTTGGAAAGTGGTGCATTGGTAACCTTTGGCTCTGCATCAAAATTGGTGTCTTGTTCGACAAGGATCCCCAAATCTGTTTTTTCCATTTCGTCACATGACCATGTGTCATCCTCCGGTAATGGAAAAGTCCACCCCATCATCTGATCAAAATTGACCCTGTTACCCACAATGTCCTGGTGGCGGTGTGATGGTGCCATCAGTTTTCCTGCGCTTCGTGGGATCGTCAGGATCTTGGCTGGGTCTCTTGAGGAGGCCATGCAACTACTGGCTCTTCTGCTCTTCTGTGAGCGAGATGCCCAGACTGTGCACAAAGGATTCAACTGCCATGGGGATTTGTTCTGGTTCCCCATTGCCGGTGGCCAGTTCAGTTGGTGTTGGTGTCTGATTGATGGCCGTCATGTAGTCTTGAGACAACTTGCGCAATGCCTTCTGTCCATCTGCAAGTTTTGTCTGGAGATCTTGCATATCTGAGAGCAAAGCGGCGTATTGTGCCTTGACCCCATCGATCTTCTCTTGCAACTGGTTTTTGCGGATGGACATGGCTTTGAGCTCAGTCACTTGGCCTTTGAGCTTGGTTACTATGTCGCGCTCGGTGCATGGTTCTGGCGCTGTGAGCTTTGTGACGATCTGTTGGACCTGGGGTGGCAAGGCATCCATGTGGGTCTTCGGGATGTCTGTCAGCTCTGGTTCCTCTGGTTTGGCCGGTCCTATGCCTAGTGCTTGTAGCTTGACTTGCGTTTCTTCCGGCAATGAAGTCCAACTGCCATTGAGTAGTTCAGTAGCTTCCTGTTGCATTTTGGTCTTCTTGAGAGGCCTGATTTTCGCGAGGCCTGGTGGGGTGTCCAACCAAGCTTGGTTGGAGGTATGCTTGGCTGGTCGTCCATAGCCCTTGCCTTTCCCTGTTCGGGTTGTGGTGTCAGGCCACCATGTACCACATCTTCGGCACTTTGTTCCGGATCTGAGTTTGTCGCTCCAGATCCAGTTGGAGCATGAGCTCTGTGAGCATACCATGTATGCCCTGCCCCAAAGTGGTGTCATTGTGCAGGATGCGGTGGGCCTCAGAAAAGCCAACCTTGCGCAGGAAAAGGGTGAGGGTCAGTGCACCGATCTCGAACTGGCCAAAGTGGTTCGTTGAGAGATAGTGCCAGTGTCCACGGGTTCCCCAAGCAAGTAGCCAAGCGAGCAAATTCCCAGGTGCCGTAGAGCAGTTCAAAAGCGAGGATGGTGTACCCCTGATTGCGAGCAATGAGCGGAGGTACTTCACAAAGTTCCTGGGCCTTGCTTGGTGAGGTTCAGCTTGCAACGGTAGCGCTAGGGGTTTGTGCACCAGCCCGATTTCACGGGCCACGGGCTTGAGCAGCTTGTGGCTTGAGCCATGTATGTATGTATGTATGTATGTATGTATGATTGTTTGTATGTATGTATGTGTGTATTTTTTCATGTATGTCTTTTTGTATGTCTGTCTGTCTGTATTTTATAGTTGCTTAACAACGAAACGACAAAAAATAGATCCAGTGGGACAAACGCCCCACGTTGGTTACACTTACTAATTGGAACAATACCCCACTTACCAAGCACGGTCAAATTTGATCTTGAAGTTACAATGTACATGTTTATCCAATGTTTTTCTGCCTCAACTCTTTTTAGGGTGTTTCTTGTTTCGTCGCACTTGGTTCACTTGATTCAATTGATTTTGTCGCATTTCACCTCTTGACCGCCACCTCGTCCCATCTCTGACATTTCAAGGTATCTCAAAGACTGATTCCGCTGACCTTCAGCCTTTAGTGGTAACCTTCCATGGCCTCTCAGGAAACCTTTCCTTTGGCTCCCCGACACACTTTGATGTGTCCTATGCTGTTGGCAATGATGATAATAAGAATGGTGTTTCCCAATATTTTGTAATCGTTTTGAATGTTTGTGTGTGAGACAATGCCACAGTGCCCCTGGCATCTAAATCAGGAACCATATGAGGGACCAGTCCGGAACTGAGTCCCTGAGGGTGAGCTCGCAATGAGACATACGGCACTGTGCTCTCATTGTTTGAGGCATCATTCGACATTTCCACTCCCAGAAGCATGAAGTCGCCTTGGGCTGACAGCCCGGAGGAGCTTGCAGACGTGTTAGTTGTTTGGCTGTTTGAAACCTGATTGAAATTCTAAAATGTTCAGTTCAGGCAATTTCAAGCCGGACGTTCTGATATCTCTTATCTCTTTCATACATTCCTGATCCTGCGGGCTCAGGAGAAACGCCCAGATGACGCTATTGTTGCTGAAAACAGGACAGCCTTGTAGCAAGAGGTCAAAAGGTCTGAAGGTGCTGTGTCAGGACATGTGTACTGTGTTTGTTGACTAGTTACTGTAGAAGTTGTTCCAAACACCTCCATTTCTTCGTGGACATTGTTGATTTTTGCGAATGGAAGTGCAGCGACACGTACAGTGCAACTTGTACATATATATGTACCATATGTACTTTGGCTCAAGGATCAAGCGACTAGAAAAGGTGCGGTTTCCGTTCCGACGCTACGCCGCTTATGGATCGTCAGTGATAGCTTCAAACTTCGCTGATTAAGATCCACTCGCAGGTTATCAGCCGTACGCGCTCTTTATAGCCGTACGAGCTACACGAGACCAAGAACAAGACTAGTCATTACAGAAACCTGCAATGTCAAGCTCAGGAGGAAATGGAAGCGAACCCTATTCATTCGCTGCTCCTGGTGGTCCCAACACCATTTCGTCACCAGACTCTACAATGGGTACTGATTCATCAGCAAATGCTGACGTTATCACTATGCCTACTGGATCACAAATCTCGGAAAGATCCGTGCCACCGGCTCGGAATCTGACCGATCTTGCACCCGTAGGACCAAGAAGATCGATGAGAGCTACAACAAGATCTACATCGCCTATAACGTCTACCGCGAGATCCCCAAGAAGGAGTATAGAGAAGAGACGTGACGATGATAGAGGAACAAAAGAGCAAAGAAGAGAGATTCAGCTGGGTGAAGAATTGAGATCGGCGAGAAATGCATACAATTTTCTTCATGAAGAATATGAATGCATCCAAGCCGGATACTCACGACTACACCACGAGGCTGAAGTGGAGTTCAGGCAAATGTCTGACTACAACAGGAAGATGCAGGAACATCTACAAGAGATGACACAGGAAGATGAAGGAGCGACAATAAGAATTGAAGAGCTCGAACACAAGCTACGCTTGGCGGAATCGACAGCTGAACATATCTACATGAGATATCAAGAGCTTGCACAAGAAACTCATCAAGAACATTCAGAGCTTGAATCTGTGAAAGCAACGAAGGACAGAATGTCCCAAGAGCTTCAAGCAGCAATTGGACACATCCAAGAACAGAATGAATCTTCATTGGCGATCAATAGAAGATCAAAAGCCATTCAGGATGAGAACACAGCCTTCGTCGGAATAGCTGACCAGATACAAGCTAGAATGATTGCGCTACAGGATGAGAATGTCAACATGCACGAGGTGATCCAACACCAGAGAGAAGAACAATGGAACAGTGAGGTCAGGGAAAGACGTCTTCAACACAGTGTTCACTCATCTCAAGATCAGAGCAATCAGGAAGCTATGGTTATTGATCATCTACGAGGTCAACTAGCTATGGCACGTGGAGCTGAACTCAACGCGAGAGCGGAGATAGAAGAGATGGAAGTGGGCATGAGGATGGAGATATTTGTATGCCAGACTGAAGTCTCTGCTAAAGAAATGGCAGAAGTGAAGGCGAGCCACCATGAATACGAAGCAAACGTCGCAAAGGAGGTTATCGCAAAAGGAGAAATATTCAATAACGAAGTCCTAGAAGGTTCCATCCGTGAACGACAACAGTTGAAAGACGCCAACCTCGCTCTATCCGAAGCCAACGCACAGCTGAAAAGAGAGAATATGATGAGAGCTCCTATGTTCGGCGATGATGGTGCTGAAATTCAACAGAAGATCAGAGAACTGGAGAATGCACTATTGGAAAGCCAGAAGGAGACAAAGAATGTCATTATGGAAAATGCGAAATTAAAAGCAGAAGCACGAATGGCACCCATAGTCTCTCGGTACAGCAAGCGTCCTAGTTCCAGAGACCGCGGGTTACCAACCCACGCGTCCGAGGAAGATGAGATTCGGAACGCAAAAGAGGAGGCGAAGCACTACAAGGACGGGTACAATGAAATGACAGAGAGCCGAGATGAGATGTATGAATGGTATGCCGAAACCCACAATGAGTACGCCGAGGAAAGGGAGAAATCAATTGAGCTATCCGAGGCGAACAAATCATTGAGGGACAAGATTTCAGAAGCAGAAGCATCCTCTTCATCTCATCTTGCACCGGCAACCTCTACAATCATGAAAGTATCGAGGAAGGAAGAATCAAAGATAAACGTTCCGTCATGGCCCAGGATCAATGATCTTGGACTATGGAAGGCAAATCTCATTCAATCGATCATCATTGCGGCCAATGATTCAGATCAAGAGCCCTGGATCGACTGGATCAAAGAAGCCATGGACGATCCTGATCCGGACAAGTTTGTCGACTCAGGAGACCAAAGATTCCATTCAATCGATGCCAAACTCGGCCTAGCTCTTACCAAGGTCGTCATGGATGCGAAAGATGATGGTTCAGGTGTAGCTATGAAGTTGAGGACGAGGATCAATGCAAAAGGGAGAACATCAAGCCTCATAAAGGGAAGAGAGGTCCTAGCCCTGATCCTTATGAATTTCAAGACAACATCAAATGTGGAAGTCTTATATACTTCAATGCACCTCTACCAACTAGAATATCAAGGAGACAAGAACTTATCGTTGTTCTTCCACACTTGGGATGAGATTCTGGCAGGAATGAAGCCCGTTGACGTCCCGAGCGACGAAACTCTTCGGGATCTCCTATGGAGAAAGATCAGGAACTCAAACCTCATGGCATACGACATCAGCGCCTACAACAGCATGAACGACGATGATGCCAAGAAGACATACAAACATCTACGTGATATGATCAGAAGGCACATCGAACGGCAAACTGAAGACAGGATGATCCTGGAAAAGGAGAAGGCAGTGAAGAATGTGGCCAATATCTTTCAGAATCTCAAACCAGGCGGACCTGCTCCAAAACTGAAAGCTGCACCAGCTGATCCGAAGAAGAAACCAAAAGGGCAACAAGAACAGGTTGTCTCAGAAGACGCTGCTGCAGTGAAGCCGAAACCCAATCCCAAGAAGCATCCTGAAGACAAGAACAAAAAGGGAAAGGGGAAAGGTAAAGGTGATGGAAAGGATCGCAGCCGAAGTCCGAGTACAGACAAGAAGAAGATACCATGCAAATACTTCGTGAAAGGTAACTGCACTATGGGGAAAGATTGCCCATTCAGTCACAAGAAACCCAGATCACCATCCAGAGGATCTTCTGTCGGAAAGAATGACAAGCCAGTATGTTGGATGTGGATTCGAGGAACTTGTGACAAAGGGAAGGATTGCAAGTTCTACCATGACCCAAAAGCCTCTCCTAAGAAAGGGATATCTGCACCAGCTGACTCAGGAGACGATAGGCCAAAGCCCAAGGCAAAACCCAAACCGAAGCCTAAGGCGAAGCCTGGAGCCCCAGCCATTGACGGTGAACTCTTCATGGACGAATCCGAAGATGAAGGGATTGCTGCATCCGCCAAGGCAAGAGAAGGAGGTGCAAAAGTATCCTTTGATGAAGAGACTTGTGAGATCATGTTGAACGAAGCGATCTACTCAGTCAGGAACAAATGGAAGGTAGTAGAAAGGAAACCTCTACGTCCAGACATCAAACGATACGATGAGAAAGAGCTCACCTGCTACACGAGGAAAGAACAAATCAGATTTGAAGAAAAGGTCGCAGAGGCAAGAGGCATATTGATGGTCCCCTACACTGAGATCAAGAGGGTCCGAATACCAGTTGGACCAAAGGGTGACCTAGCGGTCACTATGTCTTTTGACGAAGATGACGGCCTAGTTTTCCATCATAAAGTCATTCCTCATGTATGCGAGGGAAAGAAAGATCATGCAGACACAAAGACATTGTCTATTCCAGCCAAAGGGTCAAGAACAAAGTTCATCATGGACACAGGATGTGGGTATGATTTGATATCGAAAGGCAGAGCCAAGAAATTAGGTCTGGAAGTGAGAGAAAGCGACCAATCAATGTCATTCTATACCGCAAATGGAGTGACATCCACAAAGGGAGTCGCCGACATTCATTTCGACGAATTTGACTCTACCTACTCCCCATTCGTCTTAGATGAGTCTCCTTCAGTACTGTCTGTTGGAAAGAAATGCATGGAGGAAGGTTACACATTCATATGGCCAGCCTGCGGCAACCCGTACATGGTTTCCCCGAACTACAAGAAAATCATGTTAGAAGTAGAGGGAAACATCCCATATATTGTCAAGGGCAGTGACTTCTGTAACCCCACCGACGATGTAAGGGCGGAGATGATCGCAAGGTTCACCCTAGGAGAAGGTGAAGCTGATTACCAATCGGCTTTCATCAACTGTGATGTGGATCCTCAAGGCGTCATGTGTGATGATGACGACCTCCCTGTGATTGAGCCTCCAAAAGTCAAAAGACGAAAGAGGAATAAGAAGTTCAAGGCATCTCCTGGAGAAGAAGATGAGGTAGGATCAGATGTCGCCGGAGACAGTGAACCAGAAGCTGACGATGATGATGCAGATGACATCGAGGTGGATATTGTTGACGGTGCAAGCAGAATGGTGAGAAGAGGAACTCTGAAAGCAGATGCCAGGAAAATCGAACATCTACTCACACACCGTTACAAGAATCCCTACTGTGAGTCATGCATCAGAGCAAAGATGAAACACTTCAAGACGCATCGAGGAGCGTTCAAGAGAAAGCTCAAAGCTTTTGGGGATCTGGTTACCTTTGATTTTGTCGATACGAGGAACATCCTTGATCAAGGGATCAGTACTGATCGAGAGATCTTCGTCATTCGTGACAGGTACACAGGCGTCATATGGGCCTATCCGTCGAAAGAGAGGTTTGCCAAGGACGTGGTCAATGCAATAAACCACTTCAAAGGATTGAAGAAGATCAAGATTGCTTATGCCGACAAAGCCCCAGAGTTTGAGACGGCTATGAAGCAGCTGAAGATCCCATTCGATCATTCTCTACCGAATCATCCTCAGAACAATTCTCTGGCGGAGAGGAACAATCAGTTCATTATGATGACAACCGCAACTTGCCTCTTGGAAGCGGGATTACCACCATGTTTCTGGAGCTATGCA